TTTTTTTTTTGAGACGGAGTTTCACTCTTGTTACCCAGGCTGGAGTGCAATGGCGCGATCTCGGCTCACCGCAACCTCCGCCTCCTGGGTTCAGGCAATTCTCCTGCCTCAGCCTCCTGAGTAGCTGGGATTACAGGCACGTGCCACCATGCCCAGCTAATTTTTTGTACTTTTAGTAGAGACGGGGTTTCACCATGTTAACCAGGATGGTCTCGATCTCTTGACCTCGTGATCCACCCGTCTCGGCCTCCCAAAGTACTGGGATTACAGGCTTGAGCCACTGCACCCGGCCTGAATTACCTTTCTTATTGGTGATTTTTTAGCAACTCTTCATAGCATCTCTTCAAGCATTTTTAGCATCTATTCGTTTTTGTGTTTCTTCTTGTTAATTTTTCCTTGTTTTTTCTATTGGAGTTCTCTTTTTATGTAAGAGTTTCTTCTGTAATCTAAATATTAGCCTTTTTGTCTTTTTAAAAAATTCTAGTCTCATGACAGAGTATCTTTTGTCACTTTAGGCAATGCAAAAAAGCTCCCATTCTGTCATGTCTCCCGTGTGTCTTATGTCAGAAAGAAATCTTAATTTTGATGTGATCAGAGTCACTGATTTCTGCCTTATGAAGGCCATTCTTACCTTTGAATCGTAAAGATATTCTTGTATTTTTAAATTTTTTAGCTTTGTAGTTGTAGGTTTTATATGCAGTTTTAACTTTCATATAAAATCTTTAATTCATCAATAACCTACCTTTTCATTTGGTGTTAAGTATGGATCTTGTTACATTTTTCTACATATATGGTGAGTCATTTTTCCTAACATTACCTAGTAAACTGATCTGTGGTTTTGTCATTACAAGACATTAAATTCTTGTATATTGTGGGGCACAGTGTCTCATGCCAGTAATTCCAGAACTTTGGGAGGCCAAGGCAGGTGGGTCACTTGAGCCCAGGAATTTCAAGTCAGCCTGGATAACGTGGCAAGACCCTGACTCTACAAAAAATAAAAATAAAAAATTAGCCGGGTGTAGTGGCACACCCCTATTGTTCCAGCTACTTGGAGGCTGAGGCAGGAGGATTGCTTGATCCCAGGAAGTTGAGGCTGCAGCAAGCCATGATTGTGCCACTGCACTCCAGCCTGGGGGTGGGACCCTATCGCAAAAAAAAAAAAAAAAAAAAAAAAAAATCATACAATCATAAATTTGCCTCTAAACTATGTTCTGATGCATTGGTCTCTGTTTCTTCTTATACCAGTGCCATTGTCAGTATGACATTATGATTTGTTTTTTTATTTTTATTTTTTTGAGGCAGTCTCTCTCTGTTGTCCAGGCTAGAGTGCCGTGGCATGATCTCAGCTCACTGCAACCTCTGCCTCCTTCCTGCATTCAAGTGATTCCCCTGCCTCAGCCTCCTGAGTAGCTGGGATTGCAGGTGCCCTCCACCACACCTGGCTAATTTTTATATTTTTAGTAGAGATGGGGTTTCATCATGTTGGCCAGGCTGTTTTTTTTGAGACGGAGATTCGCTCTGTCACTCAGGCTGGAGTGTAGTGGCACAGTCTCGACTCACTGCAACCTCTGTGTCCTAGGTTCAAGCCATTCTCCTGCTTCAGCCTCCCGAATAGCTGGGATTACAGGTACCTGCCTCCATGCCCAGATAATTTATGTATTTTTAGTAGAAACAGAGCTTAACCATGTTGGCCAGGCTGGTCTCGAACTCCTGACTGTAGGTGATCCACCTGCCTTGGCCTCTCAAAGTGCTGGGATTACAGGCATAAGCCACTGTTCCCTGGCCAGAACTTTATTTCATAAAAATTTCAGTAAACTTGGGCTGGGTGTGGTGACTCACGCCTGTAATTCCAGACCTTTGGGAGGCCAAGGCGGGAGGATTATTTGAGGCCAGGAGTTTGAGACCAGCCTGCACAACATAGTTAGACCCCATCTGAAAAATATTAAAAAATTAGCTGGACACAGTGGGGAGTGCTAGTAGTCGTAGGTACTTGGGAAGTTGTGCTCGGAGGATCATTTGAGCCTGGGAGATTGAGGCTGCAGTGAGCTGTGATTGCACTGCCACTGTACTCCAGCCTAGGCAATAGAGTGAGACCCTGTCTCAAAAAAACAAATTCCAGTACATTTATTGAATTTCTCAAACTCTAAGCAGAATTTTAATTAGGGTCGTACTCAATTTATAGGCCAATATGGAGAGACTTGCTTTCTTTATGTTATTGAGTCTTCTATCCATGGAGTTCCCATCTCTCAATTTTTTTTTTTTTTGAGATGGAATCTCACTCTGTCACCCATGGTGGAGTGTTGTGGTGTAATCTCGGCTCACTGCAACCTCTGCCTCCTGGGTTCAAGTGATTCTCCTGCTTCATCCTCCTGAGTAGCTGGAATTACATATGCTACCATGCCCAGCTAATTTTTATGTTTTTAGTAGAGACAATTTCTCACCATGTTGGCCAAGCTGGTCTCAAACTCCTGACCTTAAATGATCCACCTGCCTTGGCCTCTCAAAGTGCTAGGAATACAGGTGTGAGCCACCATGCCTGCCCTCTCTCAAATTATTTGGGTACTTTAAAATATCCTACAATAATTCTAAAAAATCAACTTATTGAAGTATAATTTGCACACAGTCCTGTAAAATGCAGCCATTTTTACAGTTTAAGTTTTGACAGATGTATATACCCATGTAACCACTACAATAAATAAATAGAACATTTTTTTTAACCCAAAATATTTTCCTTTTGTCCTTCCAAGTCATTGTCCACCTTTACCCCAGGCAGTCATTGATTTGTCTTTTCTGTGCTTTCATATAAATGGAGCTAGACATTACTTTGTATGTTTTAAGATTTATTCGTGTTGTTGCATGTGACCGTAGTTCATTTTATTGTTTCATATAGTTTTTGTGTGAACATATGTTTTTGTCTTTCTTAAGGAGAAGAATTGATGTGGTAAGTATATCTTTATAGGAAGCTACCAAGATGTTTTCTAAAGTTGTAGTACTCTTACCAGCAATGTGTGAGATTTTTAGTTGCCCCATATCCTCATGTTTCATATTGTCAGCAGTTTTAATTTAGGTCATTCTCCTGGGTATGAGATCAGGGATTGCAATAGCTCACGTGTCAAATCTGACACATCTGTTTATTTTTTTTTTTTTCCCATCCCCATGGACACGAGGACAACATCTATTTTTGTAAATAGTTTTATGTATTATCTGTAGCTACTTTACTGCTTTTACTGCTGCAAATCAGAGCTAAGTGGTTGTAACAAAGACTACTTGTCCTGCAAACGTTAATATATTTACTCTCTGTCCCTTTACAGAAGATGTTTACAGACCTCTGGAATAGAGGTTTCTCATTGAGATGTTAATTTACATTTTCCTGATTAATGACGTTGAACATCTTTTAATATGTTTGTGGGCCATTTGTATATCTTCTTTTTGGTGGTGTCTTTTCTAATCTTTTGCTTATTGTTGAATTCATATATTTTTTATTCCTAGAACTTCTGCTTGGTTTTTTATATTTTGATGAAATTGTCTGTTTTTTTCATCCTCATCATATTTTCCTTTACTGCGTATAGTTTTAATAGCTTTTTAAAATCCATGTCTGATAACATCTGGGTCATGTTGGAGTTGACATCGGTTAACTGTCTTATCCCTTGAGATGAGACCACATTTTTCTGGCTATTGGTATATTGAGTAATTTAAGATTATATAATTGACATTGTGACTGTTATGTTTTGGAGACTGGATTATTTTATGTTTATCCAAAAGATATTATTTTTGTTAGCTGGCAGTTAACTTGATTAGACCCATACCAAACCATTATGCGTGTGGTGGGAAATGCCTTAATTCTCAGTTCATTTCTTGTTTTAGCTTTAAGCTGCTTCTACTTTACTTGAGGCCAGGAGTTCAAGACCAGCCTGCACAACATAGTTAGACTCATATCTCTAAGAAATTTTAATTTTTTAAAAAGTCGGGGTTTCGGCCGGGCGCGGTGGCTCAAGCCTGTAATCTTAGCACTTTGGGAGGC